TCAAGAATGGCACTATAAACTGCAAGTTTCTTTTTGCTTGTTTAGAGTTCAGTGTACACAAACTAATATACTTCTTTGGAAATGCAAATTGAATGATGCTTCTTATCCAAATTAACCATAATGAAGTTTTTAAATTTAGGAAGGCTCATTTTAGCATTCTATTTCTCAGCCATAGAATGCTAGCTCTCTGAAGTGCCAGAATCTGAAAAGAGTGTCCTGCTTTTGAGAAACACACTTCTGAGTCATGTAATTGGTCTGGTATAGCTTTCCACAATTTTTGATTTTTGACAGAGACAAAACAGAAAGGCTTTCAGAAAAATCAGAGATGCCTACCCTTTTTATTCAAGAACATTCCTTTTAACTGCTACAAGCCTCGATCTCAGTCACATTTTTCTTTTTTCAATCATCACAATGACATGGAAGACATTAACGTTACAGGCAGCTGTGTATGTTTCTTCAAAATTTTAAAGTTTTTATTAAATTTTAAATAGCGGCAGCCTTTCCCTTTCCCAAGAAGTCTGGAAAAACATACTGCTCAGCAGTGTTCCGTTATTTGCTACAGGCTTAATAGGTTTAAGCAAGAAAGACAATGCATTTATATGGTACTTATCAAGACTCGGGATGTGCCAAAGAGCTTTGCAGCCAAAGTAGCACTTTTGAAATGTATTCGACATTGTAATGTACAGCAGCAGCTAACATGCACACAGCAAGCATTCTTGAACAGCAGAGAGATTAACTAACCATACAGTCTGTTTTAGTCATGTTGGTTGTGAGATAGCTATTGACCTAGAGTCCAAATGGCCCACATTTTCTTGGGTTTGGAAAATATAGCCACACATTTCTGTCAATGTGTCAACCACTTGTTTGTTATAAATACATACTGAATTTTCTATTTAAATAAAAGTTACCAATCAATATTGTGGGAATAATTGGCAACAGATTTAGTGTTGAAATTGTAAGATTGGTGATGGTATCATACCTCCCTTTGAAATGATACCGTAATGTTCCTTTCAACTACGAGCTTTCATTCAGCAGTGCCCTGCATCTCTTTTTATTCATGCAAATATAAGCTTTTACACTGATTGATGTTTGCTTTCTCTGCTTATCCAACTTGCTTTACTTGATGAATCCATTTATTAAATACATTTTTTTTTCCTGAAAATATTGTTAACCACTGGTGATAATTTAAAATTGTTAAAAGCTTGTCAAAGTGAATGATGAACAGCAATCATAGAGTCCATTCATTTTTAAGCTTTTTGCGTTGTGGAGTTCTGCTGTGTAAAAATTGATGTTGATTTGTTGCAACTTAATCATGCCAACATCGTTGATTATATGTCCCTCCCTCACAGCTCACCAATCCAACTGTGACAATCATAAAGATTTTTATATGAGATTGTAGAAGGGATGTCAACAATTCCTTTATGTATCATATTAGGGCACTTTTGGCATTTTTCTTTTTGTCATGCTCTGAACGGCAATGTAAAGTACATGTTTACTCACATAACTGAAAGACCTGAAATCTTTGATGTATTATTAAAAATAAGTATATGCCACATCAGCTACAAGAAACACTTTTCTTGTTTGCATTTGACTGTTAAATGAGAGTACAATGCAGGTGTTAATGTTTACATAATAGTATTATGCAGGAATGACCTGTGGAAAAAAAATCAAAGGCCATCAAAGATAACATGGGACCTTACTTTTAGTCCTGACTTGTACTTGCTGTCCTTTTGCTCCTGGGGTGGAGGGAGCAAGTGAATTAAAATTAATTAGCATCAGTTTCATTCTTTAGTTTCATTTATCAAAGTTTCTTCAGATGTTAATCATTAAATAAATAAAAATCACCAATTTGTATTTACACTGTATGGTGTCTTTATTGTTATAATATGCAACAAGGCAGTTCACAGAGGTTGCAAAACAAAGCATAATATGAAGCCAAGGAAGGAGATAACAGGGCAGTTGAGTGAAAGTTTGGTTAAAGATGTAGGTTTTCAGCAGTTTCCGAAAGAAATAAAGGGAGTTGGAGAGTGGCAAAGTTTAGGAAAGAATTCCAGGGCTGAGGCATTTTCAGTTGTGGTCAACAATGCTGAAACCATTAAAATCAGGGATGCTAAAGAGGCTGAAGTTAGAGAAGTGCAGCTATATTGGAGGGTTATGGGATTGGAGGAGATTATAAAAATAGAGAAGTTCAAGGCCAAGAAGGGAGGATTCGGATGATTACACAATCACTTTGCAGTACTGTAACTGGCCAAAGATAATATAGAGTGCCATCACACATGGTGCTTATTGGGCAGTCTTTTTCCTCTCCTTTTTGTAATAGTATAGATGTGGTCAAATTGTAAGGGTGCACTATACTGGACATTCTCATTGCAGTTGGGCTCAAAAGTATAAATATTGTATAGGCAGCCAGGGAGTAACCAGCTCCCTTCTGTTCTGTTGTTGGATTCCCTTTTTGAATTTTTTTGACAACCTATAATTTTTTACTTCAGAGTTTAACAATTATATACTTTGCAATAATTACACACTATTGCACTATATGTGAAGACACATATGAGCAAAAGGATACACACTGTAGCCTATTTATTGTCATTTCCTACTAAAATGCATTAATATTTTTCTTTTGAGAGTGTGTCCAATATTATATGGTATAATAATGATTTGAAGCATTTTATTTTGTGTATCTCAAGTGAAGGAGTAGAATAATGATAAGATTACTGGAAAAAAGGTATTGCTTCTTTACTTTAAAATACCTCCATCACATTTTACAAAGGGACTTTCTCTTAAATTTACTATTTCCATTTTATTTCATTGTTATGGTAACCTGTAGATTGTGTTATTTTTTTCCGTTGAATTACAAAAGTAATTTTTTTTTCTGTTACTTTTAGGGTCAAAGGAAATAAAAAGATCTGTTCTACTGATGCTGCCCTGTCAACAACATGAAATACCTTGATCATAAACTGCAACAATGGATTTAAATGAAGAATCCATAGACTCTGAAGGCAAGTTGGTTGAGTTGCCAGTCAATGAAGAGAAAATTGGGAAAACCAGAGCAAAACCTGCAATTGGACAAAATACACACACTAGTTTGATCCGACGTTGCAGACGAAAAGCAAACCCACAGCTGGAGAATACCAAGGGCTTGAACACAAGCACTACCTTGGAAGGAAAGGTGGCCCATGGCAGACCTAAGGGTGGTAAGAGTCCCTGTGGAGAGGTCCCGCCGGCCAAAAGACAGAAGCTAGACACTTTGGAACAAACTCAAGACAGTGGGAGTATTGAGACTGCAGAAGGCTCGGCTTTAACCCATGAGGAGGAGCCAGCAAGCTCAAAACCCAGGCACGTACAAAATGATATTGTGATAGACAGTGTGCTGTTTGAAAGACGACCTGGAGATTGTCAGCGTAGAACTAAGAAGGTCAAAGTTGAAGCAACTTCACTGTCCCTATCTTATAACTTTATACGGAAAAAAGACGCTTCACTAAAAACTAATGTGGATCAGTGTCATTTCACTGACAACTGTTTTGTTTGTAATATTTGTAATATTACCAGCCAGTCCAAGGAGAGTTACGAAAAACACATATCTTCAGTTCGCCATAAAAAACAAGCTAAAAGCACAAGTCAAGATACAAATACGAAAGAAGGATTTAACTGCAGGCTCTGTGGCCATTTATTACCTTCACGGTATGACTTGGACAAACACATTAAAGAGAACCATTCCAAACGATCCAAGGCACACTTTTGTCCTCAGTGCAAATTCAAGGCAGAGAGTGCAGCATTATTGCAAGCTCATCTCAAGCACAAACACTTCCAGGAAGAAAGATTAGGTTGTGATCTGTGTGGTTATCAATGTTATGATGAAAACCTGCTGAAAACCCACTGTCGTGGGAAGACTCATCTTCGCCGCAAGAACCTCGCTGCACGGGGTGGGTACATACACTTGCTTTCTAAAAAGGGTCTTTCTGGCGAAAATGGTGCAAAAGACAAAGCAAGAAGTGCAAAACCCTTAAATAAGAGGCCTAGAAATTTGAGAACGACAAGGAACAGATGTTGTGCTCAGAAGGATGGTAAGCAAAGCACTGAGTGTTTGGACAAATCAACAAGAATTGGCAATAGTCTCTGTGTGGAAGTAGGAAGCAGTGATAAAATGCCAATGACAAATGATCAAATAGAGCTTAATGATTGTCGTGCTGGAAAGGCATCTCACAGAAGAACTTTGAGAAGTGCAAAAGAACCAACTAATCTTCTGCAAGAACGTGGCATTAATCGAAGACTAAGGCGCTCTGGAAATGGTAATGTCAGCCTGAGACTGCGCACTGCATGCTGCAAAGTCAATTCTGAACACAAGAGTACACGAATCAGGCTTTCCAAGGAAGAAGTGGCAAACCAAAGGTCTCCAAGAAAGCTCCAAGGAAAAGCTAACCTTTCATCAAAGAATAATAGTCGAGGTCGAGGTCAAGACCGGTTTCCTCACAAGAGAGAGGCTTTTCCTGAAGCACAGCAAAAAAGTGTCAGTGTTGCTGGAAGCAAGAATGGTGATGTGAAAGAAACAAGCAAATTGATTGCCCAGGAATCAAAGCAACTCGAAGGAAAACCTGAGAACCAGGGTAAAACTACTGATATGACACCCATTGAGGCGAACCTAGAGGATGAGAATGCATTTAAAGTAAGTTGCTCAAGTGGCAATCAAGAAGGAGTATCAACCCCGTCAGAAGTACCTCATTCATTAGCATTGGTTGAAAACAGCATTGAAAATACTTCAGGGAATCAAAACCTTGAGTCCCCATCTGCCAATCCAGCAAATAACAAAGTCTCTAAAGTTGAAAATCCTGAATCGAAGCTGAGCCCTGCTGATCGTAAAGCCCTCCGCACCTGCTCGTACTGTGGCCATTTATTTCAGAACCGAAAAGGTCTAGAGGTGCATATCAAGAGGCGCCATACAAAGGAAATGGTGTTCCATTGTCGACCATGTGGCTATGCTTGTGTTACAAAAGGTGACTTCGAAAAGCATTGTCAAAGCAACAGGCATCAAATTAACTTTTCCAAGATTGACTGTTGGCTGTGCACCTTTGTGACCTCAGATGAAGAAACTCTCAAGGATCATATGAATCAAAAACACAAAATAGTTTCTTACTGCCGACCTTGCAAACTGCACTTTGTATCAGAAGATGACCTAGCAGACCATGTTGGTACTGATCACGTAAAAAACATGTTCCCACAGCAGAAAGACACCACAACTGAGCAAGCTGGAAGACTGCAGCTGAGAGGACTAGAGTTAAATAAAATCTCTTTATCAGATACAAGCGAAGAAACTACTGTACCGAAAGCAAACCCTTTGTTAAAGGATCCTCAAAAGCTTTCTATCACAAGAGTAGTTGCAGGGAATATACTAAAACGATCAACACACAGCAGACCCCAATTGCAGTGTAAACATTGCTTTTATAAAGCTAGATCTGCCTCAGTCCTTTTAAAACACATAAGACTGAGACATGCGCAAGAGTATCGCTTTTTTTGTAAAGTGTGTAGCCTCTACACTATTAGCAAGGAAGCTATGGAGAAGCATATTAAACGAAGTAGGCACATTATGAATGCCAAGAAAATAAATCTTGGCCCATCAGTGGAGGAGTGTGTTGAAGAAGTGTCTATTGGTGTTCAGGATGTTCAAAAGACCATGAAGACTCCAGGGGCTTTAGGGAATGTCAATACTGAAATAGATAAAGGTTATGTTCAGGTTCTTGAGCCATCAAAACCCAGAGAGGAATTTGTTGTAACTTGGGAAATACCAGAAGGGGATGCAGGCAATGTGGAAGACGTTCAGAAAAGCAGTGATCTTCAGTCAACAGAAAGTGTTAAAAGAGGGCGCCCTAAGGGGAATATTTCCAGAACTTGCCTTTATTGTGGACTATTGGCTTCCAGTGTCACAAATCTGAACATTCACATAAGGCGGAAACACAGCCATCAATACAGCTACTTCTGCAAGACCTGTAACTATTACACTGTCACCAAAGGAGACATGGATCGTCACTGTAACACCAAGAAACATAAAAATCAGGCTGATGTCTCCAAGACTGAAGTTTGCAGAAAAATTACCACATCTCCTGATAAGGGTAACTCACAAGTGATTGTGACTGATGTTGCCGCTGTTTCCATGGCTGAAAATGTTCAAAACAGCAGCAAAAGTTTGAAACCAGAGATTCCTGGTGCGGAGAACCCATCTGGGAGTACTGAGAACAGTATTCGTGTGAATTTAGAGAGTTTTCCTTCAACGCAAGATCAACAGAAAGTGGAAAATCAGAATGAGATAGTTGTAGTTCTTGATGTGGAATCAAATGATACGGGACAAAATGGTAGTTCGTTCAACTCAAAGCAAAGGAAAGAAAACCACACCACGACTTGTGTGTATTGTGGTTTTATGGCTTACTCTCTTGCTACCCTTGAGATGCATGTGAAACGTAAACACACACGAGATTTTGACTACTATTGTATGGCATGTGCTTACTATGCTGTCACACGTCGTGAAATGATGAGACATGCAATCACCGAGAAACATAAACTTAAAAGTCGGTCCTACCTCAAATTAAATCCAAATAAAGGGCATGATTCCAGTACAATGCCAACCAATACACCAGAGAACAGAAGCCACAAAGAAGGAAATGAGGATCGAATGAATGAAGGGAGCTGGAACAAGGAAGGAGACACATCAAAGGCTTCTCAAGATGCCATCCAAAAGTCTCTGTCAAGTGTGATTGAAACAGCGATGTCAGTAGAAGGTAGTGAAGAGGTCAATGCAGCGAAAGAGACAGTACCAGTGTCTCAGATGGCAGAAAATCAGATAAAATCCTTACAAAATGAAATGGCTGAAGAGGAAGAAAGTATTCAAACTCTGCCAACTGTATGTCATTCAGAAATTTCCTCTGAAGCTTATTCTGGAATATTGGAAGCAAATACTGCACATTCGAATGCATCTCTGGATACGGAAAGTTATCCTGCAAAATTGAAATCTGCGTCATTAGAGTCATCAGTGTTGGAAACAATCCAAAATCAAATTTCTGAGTTACCCAGTGAGCAAGATACAAGTAGGTGTCATAAAGACGTTGTCACGTTACAGAAAACTAATGTCAAGAACAATGATATTGATTTACATGTTGAAGCTTCTCAGGCAGAAGAGGATGATTTTCAACAGCTTTCCCAGGCAGATGAGAGATGGATAGATAAACAAAATATTAAACCAACTGAAGTGGCTAAGGAGATAAGTTCTTCTAATTTGGATAGCAGACCAAATGAAATGGTTGATCCAGGTCAAAATCAACCTAATAACTGCAGCATTGCAGAGGAAGAGAATATGGAAGTAGGACTTTTGGCTTCCACAGAAGATGTTGAAGGAAGTTCCGTAGAAGGTGGATGTCATTGGCAACCTCAGAAGAATTCAGAACATACCCATGTTAACCATGTACAACAAATTGATAGCAACTATCAAAACGTCACGGAGGCAGCTAGAACGGAGATGACTGCGCAAGGTGGCATTGAAGCCTCACATGATTTTGGAGGTAATGAAAGTCTTTCAGATGATCAAAATAAAATGGAAACAGATTTAAAGGAGAAGACCAGGGATATGAAAAGTGCAAATGAAAATAATCAAGAATTGGAAATAACTGAAGGTACTGGTGAAAGCCTTAAGCTTGATTTGCAATGTAAGGGATTCCAAAAATATTTTGAGTTTGATGCATCTATAGTAAGATTAAAGAACAAGTTCGGGAGTGAAAAATCCGAATGCACTGATAACAGTGAAGATAGCCAGGGAGCTGATGGAATCTCGCCAGATGAGTGGGGAGTTGCAGTCTATAAGACTGACACTTCGCAAGTTGTGAAGAAGAGAAAAAATAAAGGATCCTTGTTTCAATACCCCAAACGCATTCGCTGTGAGGACTGTGGGTTCCTGGCAGATGGTGTAAATGGGTTGAATGTTCACATTGCCATGAAACATCCTTCTGCGGAAAAGCATTTCCACTGCTTCCTGTGTGGCAAATCATTTTACACAGAGAGTAACTTGCATCAGCATTTGGCCAGCATGGGCCACCAACGAATGGAACAGGAGAGCATTGAGGAGTTGCCAGAAGGTGGTGCTACCTTCAAGTGCGTCAAGTGCAACACAGCTTTTGATTTAGAGGAGTACCTCTTTGTGCACATCAAGCAGAAACATGGGGAAATGCTGAGGGAAGTGAACAAATACATTGTGGAAGACACAGAACAGATAAACTGTGAGCGGCAGGAAAATCAAGGCAATGTCTGCAAATATTGTGGGAAGGTCTGCAAAAGCAGCAATTCACTAGCATTTCTTGCTCACATCCGTACGCATACTGGTACGTACATATATGTTGGCATTGCCCACTTGAATTTTAAGTCTAGCCCTTTTTTTTTGTTAAAAATCAAATAACTGTGGATTATGGCGATCTGAAACAAACAAAAACAGAAAGTGCTGGAGAACCTTTGGCAAAGTTCTGACGAAGTGTCAAAGACTCTAGATGTTCATTGTGTTTCTCTCCATAGATACTGCTACTACCAGACCTGCTCGGATTTTCCATCACTTTCTGTTTTTGTTCCTTGACTTTTGTTGTTGATTTCTTGAAAATTGATCACAGCATTGTGTTTACTTTGAAGGATTGTCTGTGCAAAATCAAGACTTTTTTTTCGATTCATGCGCAAGAAGAGTTTTTTGTTCAGGTTCTCAACTGTGGATTGACTTCAAGAAGCTACTTACACTTGGAATGAGGCCACAGAATAGTTCTGTTTACCTTTCACAATATTCATTTTTAAATTGTCAGTTACTTTTAGCAGTCTCTGATCTCAGAGGCCCAGGATTAAGTGTTTGCATTATTTGATACTTATTGATAAGTCTGCACAAGTGGTGAGCATTTTGCAGTCTTATGCAATTGTCTGGTTAATATACGTTGCCCATAACTGATGTGTCTATTACCTGAATTCCCTTGTAATTATGGTCCATAAGTCTTGTAAATGTGCTAAAGCTCACTAAAAGCATACCAAATCTAGAAGAGAGTCAAAGATGTTTTATGTTCTAAGCTCAATAATTTAAAATAATCAATGCAGGCTTCTCAGCACTTAATTTCCCTTGTGTTTTGATAGCTAATCATTCTTTATCCATTAAGATTTGTTCTATAATTTAAAATGTAAATTTTATTTGCAATGGATACATTTAAGACCAGGGTGTGTCCAGTAGGTTAAGTATTGCTGAATGCAGTTGATCTTTCTTCTGTTTGACCATATGTGCTAATCCTACTCACAATCAAGTTAATGTGATTGCTAAAGTAATATAACTATCTGTAAATGACACTTTGACCTTTGGACCTTGCAGCATTGGAAAACATTCCCAATACCAAGTATAGTGTGATTTTATTCTATAAAACTGTATAGATTTTTGATCTGATTGTAGCAGAATAGTGAGAAAATGGAAAGCTGATGATTGATGCACGGTTTTCTTTTAAATAGACATGAACAATAATAACTTATGTTTATGCAAATCATATTTTCAGGCAAAACCACCATACAATATTGTATGGCAGGTTTTGCTTCAGGTGTACTTGGCAATTGCACATGGAAAGATCAGGTGTGGCTCCCTTGCTGTTCTGGTTCAGTACCTTGGTCTGTTTAATTTAGTATAGATTTAGAGGTGATCCAATGGAGTCTGGTAAAATAACTAACTGGGAGGAGTGGATGTTTAGTCCTGATGTTCTGGCCATCATAACTTGAATGATACTAGTTGATGGACTAGTTATTCTTTTCCCAGCACTCAGTTTGTAAATTTGTCTAAATCTCCGGGGCAGATGTATTTGCATGGTAAGAGCGTTGCTGGGGGCTTGGGAACCCAGGGGAAATCCTTCAAAAACGCAAAAAGGATGACAAGAAAGAACTCTGAATAGTCACACTACAGTGAAAATGGAAACCTTATAGTTTTCATTGTGTGAATGTTTTTTTCCTCGTATTATATTGCAGTGCTTTGTAAGTGACCTTGGGATACTAGCACTCCCAACACTTCTATCTTTTATCTTCAGGCTTCATTGTCCTTTGTTGGAAATCTTCAGCTCCTTGAAAGGAGTCAGGTCCTTTTTTTTTTATGAAGGCTTTCCATCCTCTAATTTTCAGTGTTACTGTTCGTGACATGCTTTTTCTTTTAAAAATTGAAACAGATATTTGGCTTGTAATACATTAAAAAGTAGCTTTTAAGAATTCTTAATGTTTAAAAATTCTTTCATTATGTGTGGGCATTGTTGACAAGATTGGCATATGTTGCTTATGATGGCAGAATATTAAAAGAAAACAGCTTGCATAATCAGGCTTTTAAACTTGGAGGTCTTTAGCAATGGATCTGACACTATGAGAATGAATAAGTAACTATACAACATTGGGCTTTGGCAACTGAAGAAAAGAACACTGGTATTGAAGCCCTGAAAATCAGGGATGTGCAAGAAGCAATTTGCTGGATATTGAAACAGCCCATGTCCATATGCAGCAAGACATGGACAATATCCAGTCTAGGGTTGTTAAGTGGCAAGCAACATTTTAGCTACATGTGTTAGACAATGACCATCTCCCCTTGGTGTTCAATTGATGTTCAATTGAGTCATCACTGCTGAAACCCCATTATCAGTACTTTGTGGAAGAGTTATCACTGACCATAAACTGAATTGGACTAACTTTGTAAATACAATGGCTCCAAGAGCAGGTCAGAGATCAGGAATTCTATGGTGACTAAGTAACCTCCTATCTACCTGATGGCTGTTCACCATTTATAAGGCATAAGCAAAGGGGTATAATGGAATATTCTTCATTTACCTGAAGCGACAGAGCTCCAAGTACCATCAAGAAGCTTAATCTTATTCAGGACAAAGCAGCTGGTTTGTTTGCAACCCATTCCACCACCTTCAACATTCACTTCCTCTGCCATCAACAGCACTCCGTGACATCAGTGTGTACTATATACAAGCTGCAATGCATTAATTCACCTAGACACCTATGACAGTACTTACCAAACCTGTGACCTTTATAACCTAGAAGGACAAGGTCAGCAGATTATTGGGAAATGTAGGTTCCCCTCCATGCTGTATAGCATCCTGACTTTGAATTAAGTTGCCATTGCTTCACTGTCACTGGGTCAAACTCCTGGAACTCCATCCTAATAGTAGGTGTAACCACAACGTAAGGACTGCAGAAGTTCAAGAATGCAGCTTACCACCACCTTCTTGAGGGCAGTTAGGGATGGTTAGTAAATGGCCCAGCCAATATCCCATGAAGGAATAAAAATAAATGCTAATGAGTACAAGACAGTAGATTGGGATAAGTGGAGTTATTTTGAGAATGACAGACTGTAACTAGTGGAATGCCACTGGGATCAGTCCGTGGGCCACGATTATTTATAGATATTACAATGTTAAGGCTTGTATCGGGGAAATGAGTGTACTTTTGCAGATTACACTAAAGTAGCTAGGGAGGCAAATAGTGAAGATGACACAAAGTGTCTATAGAGGGATGCAGCAGAGGTTAAGTGAATGGGTAAAAACAGAAAATGAAATATAATGTGGGGAAAATGTGAGATCATGCACTTTGGCAGGAAGAAGAGCAAAGTTGAATATTATTTAAATGGGGAAAGACTGCAGAAAGGTACAGCACACACAAATTTGGGAGTCTTCATGCATGAATCATAAAGGATTAGCATCCAAGTTCAGCAGGTAATGGGAAGGGCAAATGGAATGGCATATAAATGGAATACATCCTGGGTATGGAAGAATTTTCACATGAAGAGAGGTTGAGTAGGTAGGATTACTCTCACTGGAGTTTAGAAGAATGAGAGATGACATTATTGAAACTTATAAGATTCTTAGATGTGACGGGGCAGTTGCTGGGAGTTGTGGGAGAGTCAAGGATCAAAGGACATAATTTCAGAGTAAGGGCGTCACCCTGTTAGGACAGAGATGAGGAGGAATTTCTTCTCTCAGTATTTGTGGAATTTTTACTGGTGAGGACTGTCGAGGCTGGGCCATTGAGTATATTCAAGGCTGAGATAGAGAGATTTTTAATCAGCAAGGAAATCCAGAATCACAGGGAACTATCAACATCCTGGGGTTTCCTTTCACCAGAAATGCAACTGGACATACCATATAAATACAGTGGCTACAAGAGCATGTCAGAAGTTAGGAATACTGCAGCAAGTAATTCACCTCCTGATTTCCCAAAGCCTGTCGTCCACCTACAAGGCACAAGTCAGCAGGTGGTGCCGTACACCCCACTTGCCTGGATGAATGCAGCTCCACAAAACTCAAGAGACTTGACAACGTCCAAGACAAAGTAGCCTGCTTGATTAGCACCACATCTACAAACATCTACTCCTTCCACCACTCCCAATGCTCAGTAGCCAGCAGTATGTAGTATCTACAAGATGCACTGCAGAAATTCACCAAAAATCCTTAGACAACACCTTCCAAGCTCACAACCACTTCCATCTAGAAAGACAAGGGCACTTATACATGGGAACACCATCACCTGCAAGTTCCCACCAAGCCACTCACCATCCTGACATGGAAATGTATCGCTGTTCCTTCACTCTTGTTTCAAAATCCTGGAATTTCCTCCCTCAGGGCATTGTGGGTCTACCTTTAGTACATGGACTGCAGTGGGTCAAGAAGGCAGCTTGCCACCAACTTTTCAAGGGCAACTAGGGACAGGCAATAAATGCTGGCCAGCCAATGACACCCATGTCCCACGAGTGAATAACGTGAAACAAAAAGGCTTCGGGTTACTTGTGCTTCCTAACCATTGGCAAGGTAGATCCAGAATGAGGAAGATCTGTCCAGTCCCTTTAAATAAGATGAAAACCAGTGGATAATTTTGTATGTAATGCCATTTATTTCTGGGGCTGATAGCAGTTCCTTTTCTCCTCCAGCAATTGGTATTTGTTGTACTGTGAGCTGTTCCATCACCATTTGTCAAGTCTAGAATCTAGGTTTGACTCTGAACTAATCTAGTGCATATAATATCCAGTGTGTGATGACAAATGGCTGGACCTGATGTGTCACTGGGTGGGCATTAAGAATTTTTGGGGGTCCTGGGAACGATGAAGCCGTCCAACAGGCTTGGTAACCACACATGGCCCTATCTGAACATAAACATGTTAAAATGTGTGAAAATATATGCTTATAGAGTATTTCTGAATAGCATTTATGATGAAGCAAATCATTATAGAATATACTTGAAGTTATTGTACTGCGCTTAAGTGAAACATATTTGCATGATGCCTCTGTTAAGGATTTGCTAAAGATTTCATAAACCCATGTGTTGATCCATCTCTGGAAGTGAGTCTAGAGCACAGAAGTGCTTCTAGTTTGAGATCACTAAATATTAATTTAGCAATCAACAAGACTGCTGCAAAAATGGGAATATTAGATTAGTGTAATATTGGTATTTTGGGTAGAATTTGAAGCATACAGGAAATATAAGCTTAGAAAGGTTTAAAAACACTTTTTTCATTATATTGCTTTCATTGTTATGCTCAGGAACTGCAGATCATGAATATAAGACTGTCACTAATAAATCTAATAAAGGAATTCAAGAGAATACTAATTTACCCGAAAGTGGTCAGAATTCAGAACTCTTTACAATAAGGTATAGTTGAGGTGAATAGCACAATGTACTTGGCTCGGGGGGGATGTAGATAAGCGTATGAGGGAGAAAAGAAGAAAATGTTGACAGGTGGAGAATTGTCCTTTTGTAAGAAGATCAGTTAAAGTGCTTTCTAAATGGCTTAGATCTAATGTTAAATATGTGTGTCACTTTGTTCTGGATACACTCAGCAGTGAATACATATCTGTAAAAATCAATTTTGTTCATCATTTTAAACACTTCAGTTATATCACTCATCTTCTTTCACAACCTGAGGGAATATAGGCCAGGTTTAGATAACCTGCTTTCGTTATTTTATTCTTAATACCCTGCCATAATTCTGATGAATATGCACAACATCACCTCCAAGATTGATTTCTAAGGCACTACAATAAAACTGTAAGGAGTTGTGGTCTAAGCAAGCCTGCCTGAACCCTTGTCTCCAGTCCTCTTGCAATAAAGGATATCAATCAATTTTGATTACATTTTATATTTGTACCCTGTTGTAGCTTTTATTGGATTATGAGACTGAGCTTCCAACATTAAGAAAATAGTTCAATTTGATTTTTCATGGATACTGTCACACTTATCCACATTGCAAAGCTGTGTCAGAGAGAGGTTCAAACTCAGAGTCATAGAACCATACAGCATGGAAACAGACCCTTGTTCCAACCAGTCATGCCAAATATAATCCCAAACTAAACTAGTCCTAGCTTCCTCCTCCTGGCCCATATCCCTCCAAACTTTTCCTATTCATGTACTTATCCAAATGTCTTTTAAATGTTGTAATTGTACCCACATCCACCACTTCCTTGGGAAGTTCATTCTGCACATCAACCACCCTCTGTGTTTAAAAAAAATGCCACTCATGTCTTTTTAAAATCTCTCTCCTCTTATCTTAAAAATGTGACCCCTAGTCTTGAAATCCCCCATCCTAGAGAAAAGACAACTACCATTAACTCTATCTATATCCCTCATTATTTTGTAAACTTCTATAAGGTCACCTCTCAACCTCCTATGCTTCAGTGAAAAAAGTCCCAGCCTATCCAGCCTTTATAGCTCAAACCATCCATGCCCGGCAACATCCAGGTAAGTCTCTTCTGAAACCTCTCCAGCTTACTAATATTCTTCCTATAACTGGGTGACCAGAACTGGGGTCTCTGCCCCTGCAACTTAATGTGCCATCCAACTTGATGTCACCTGCACATTTGGATATGCAGTTCTCCTTTTCTTTCATCCAAGTCTTATGCATGTGTGGTGAAAAGTTGAAGCTCCAGTGAAGCACCATTTGTCACATGCTGCCAATCAGCGCATATTCTCTTTTTATTACCCTGTCAAACATTTACCAACCCACACGTTGAAATTTACTGAGGTTAGACAAAGCCCATGAGACACATATCAGCAGAACTGTGAATGCCCAATCACCACCCACCCAAATAATGTCACATTGTTCTGCTGCTCTTGAGCTGAATCAATGAAAATAAAATGTGATTGATGAATGGATAGGAATTGGATGGCTGAGAAAATATACAGGGTACCTCTAGGCTTCCTTGACGATGTGGTCAATGAAATGAGTTTGTGGCACTAAACTGGCCTAAATTGACATGTTACAAATTCTATTTTTTTGACATTTTTAGTTTTTTGATGAGATTAGGGAATGATCCATTCCTAACCCAGCCAAATTTCTTCTTTACAGATGCCATTCCCTGGTTTGTGTCAAGAGATTCACATACTGGCTTGACATGACTAATTTTCAATATTTTCTTTACTAATTGTCCTTTTAATCCCTGGGTGTGTGCCTTTTTCATTGTTTAACTTCCTCATTGTTCCCCATGATACAGTATTTTAAAGCTGACCATTTTTAAATTACAGTACATGCTGTATGAAAGCATCAGAGACCCAACCCTTAGTCTTTAATTTTACCTCACTGCTTCTCTCTTTGAATTCAGCATCTTTTCAGTTAGGTTGTAATTGATTGAATCATATGTATAGCTGGTTACACTTCTCAATTAATAATTCATCAATATTATTTCATGTTTGCTTTACATATCTGTGCCGTCACTGTGACTGCCTGCCTTTTTCTACTCTGTGATATTACCCAATTTCAATCTTGCCTCCATTTTCTATTTATTTAATCACACGTTTTGGGTATTGCTGGCAAGGCCAGTTTTGTAGTCAATATCCAGTTACCCTTGTGAAGTTGGTGGTAACTGTCCTCTTGAACTGCTGCAGTCTGTCTGGTGTAGATACACTCAGATTGCAGTTAGGAAGGGAGTTCCAAGTTTTTGACCCAGTGACAGTGAGGAACAGTGTTTATAGTTCCACGTCAGATGGTTGTATGACCTGGAGGGGAATGTGGAGGTTGTGGTGTCTTCGTGCACCTACTGCCCATGTCCTCGGTGGTAAAGGTCTCCTATTGCTGTTGCTGTGTATCAATGGTGGAGGGAGTGAATGTGCCAGCTGATAGATGGGGTACCATTCAAGTAGGCAGCTTTCTCCTGGATAGTCTCAAGGTTCCTGAGTATCATTGGAGCTGCACTCATCTAGGCAAGTGAAGAGTATTCCATCACAAACTCTACTTGTACATAGTAGATGATCAACAGACTTTGGAGAGACAAGAGATGAATTACAGTACTCATCATAGAATTCCTAGCCTCTGATTTTCTTTTGTAGCTACAGTATTTTAATGGGTCGTGCAGTTCATTTTCTGGTCAACGGTAATACCCCAGGATGTTTATAGCATTGAATGTTAAGAGGTGATGGTTAGATTTTCTCTTGTTGGAGATTGTCATTGCCTGACGTTTGTCTGTCATGAAAAGTACAGGCCACTTATCAGCTCAAACCTGGATGTTGTCCATTGTCTCAATGAACAGCAGCTCATCCACAACTCTGCTACTTTTATCCTAACTTTGATCAGATTTTGTTCCCTCATTGTACCTGTATTGACTGCCAGCTAAGGAATGCCTTGACTTTAAAAAAAACATTCTCATCCATGTTTTCAGCTACCTTAAAGAGCTTGCCCCTTCCTATTTCTGTTACATCCTCCAGCCACATGTCTGTCCAAGATACAGTTGGTCCTTCAATTCTGATTGCCTAATCTCTCCCAGTTTTAATTGATCCACCACTGTGGCTCTGCCTTTGATTGCTTGTGTGCTAAACTCTGTAGGTTCCTCTCTGAACTTCTCAGCATCTCTTCCCTCACTTTCCTCATTTAAATGAAACTCTTCGACTAAACTTTTGGTATCAGCCCTAATATCTCCAAGTGTGGCTTGGTATCACATTTTGGGTAATAATGTTAGTGTTAAACATCTTAGTACATTTTACCACATTAAAAGCACTTCAGAAGTGTGATTTAATAATTTATCTTGTAGCTAGGCTTGCCAACTGAAGATCTGAGTAAACTTGGTGGCTTCTCGTTTTCATGCAAGCAATGAGGTGGGCTGGCCGTGAAGTGATTTTCGCTGCCTTGCCAGCCTTCTCGAGGGACAATTATACAATTGACCCCATAATGTTCACTCATCCTCAGCAAGATAATCATAGAATCCCTACAGTGAGGAAACAGGCCCTTCAGACCAACAAGCCCACAGTGACCCTCAGAGCATCCCACCCAACCCATCCCCCTACAACCCACCTAAATACACATCCCTGAACACAACAAGCAATTTAGCATGGCCAATCCACCTAACCTGCGCATCTTTGGTCTGTGGGAGGAAACCCACGCAAACACGGGGAGAATGTGCAAGCTCCACACAGACAGTTGCCTGAGGGCGGAATTGAACCCGGGCCCCTGGCGTTGTGAGGGAGCGGTGCTAACCACTGAGCCACCGTGCCGCCCCACGGAGCCATCATTGGGAGCCATCATTAGTGTTTTTACCCATTGCATGAATTAGTCGAGAAGCAACCCGGCCAGGCACACCATGCAAAATGATTTATGTTTTGGGATGCTATGATGCAGAGCAAAAGCATAGGCCCAGGTCAGTAATGGCCCTACATGCAATGCCATGTCAGCCTAAAAGGTGGAATAAATCTCATTTATTTGTTTACCTTTTTATTTTTTCTGCTGCAGCATTTTCACTTTTCTTGATTAACCATTTTGAATGCTGAGCTTCCCTGACATTTAATGGAATAGAATAAGTTTATCGTAACCTATATTGTACTTGATGCTTGCTGCAATTAGATTACTGCATGTTATTAAGGAGTGCGAGCAGTTTAGAATGCTGTTGTGTTATTCATTATTAACATAGTGCTAGTCACTTGTGATTTTTAAAAAAAAGCTGATATCTTTCTAAATTTTTAGGGGTGGCAAGGTAGCTCATTGGTTAGCATTGCTGCCTCACAGCATCAGGGACCCATGTTCGATTTCAGGTCCAGGAGACTGTGTGGAGTTTGCGCATTCTCCCTGTGTCTGCGTGGGTTTCCTCTGGGTGTTCTGATTTCCTTCCATAGTCCAAAGATGTGCAGGTTAGGTGGATTGGCCGTGCTAGATTGCCTATATTGTCCAGAAATGTACATGCTAGGTAGGTTAGCCATGTGAAATGTAGAGTTACATGGGTAGGGCTTTGGGTCTAGGTGGGATGCTATTTGGAGGGTCAGTGTGGACTCAATAATTGCCTGCTTCCGCACTATAGGAACTCTATGATTCTAAATTGAAAATGATTACTAAGAAATTTTAATTATTTAGAAAAAGGTTCTTTATGAAAGATTTAGGAAGTCATCTCCAGCAGGACAAATCTTGTTTCTTTGTCAGCGTGTTGTGAATTAAAATTGTGCTGTTTAAATGAATGGCGAAATAATTCATTAAGCTATTTGGGTAGGTTATATTTCTTTCCTCTCCAACCACTGTGGATTATCGGTCACTTCATACTGCTGTCCTGAACATTTATTCCCATCCATTCCAAATTAAACCATCGCCATCCATTCTTTTAGAGATAGGTCAATGTATTGGTACCTTTGCACTAAAAGGAAGACTTGCATTTCTATCATGCCTTTCATGATCACAGGATATTCCAAAGC